TCATAGAGTGTTTCAAGAACCTACTTAGTTGGCACAAGACCAAAGGACTTATTGTAACACTATTCATGGTACAATCCACGAACTGTTAGTGTGCATAATGCGACTCATCTAGTAAAAAATCAATTAATGATTTGTTTCTCTATCCAACTAACACTTCCTAGCAGTAGTGTTATGGGTGGAGATAGATCGTGAAACTCCTTCATAATTCCTTAGATGATCGATAAAGTTTGGACTGAGGTTCTCACTATGAGTGTCTCATCCTATTGCCCAATTGATTCTCAACTTCACTTTATGAGAGCTCTAAACACCTGAAAGGTTTCAGACTCACATTCATACAAAGTTGGTCTCACCATGTTTAATCTGAACTGTCTATTAGAGTGAACTAATTCCAACAGATACTCACATCACCCGGTGATGTATTCATGATCTATCTTGATAAGCAAGATTTACATTTATCATAAGACTCGAGGCCAAATGATATCCAAAATCCGATCCAACTGGATATTTGGTAATGTATTTCTCATATATGTATCCAAGACTATGATGCCACAAATACATTTCACCCAAACGTTTGGATGTATTTGAATAAGTACATATTGTGATTACTCTGAACGATCCATTCAAAATAATACACCTTATTCAAATATTTGAATCAATCTTTGAACTATTGTTACTATACTAGTTTCATAGTATAAACAATTTCAAAATATAACACCATAGACTACACATTTTGAAAAGAGTTGTCTTTTGATCCTATGAATGTAGCAAGGGCTTGGCATTCATGATCAAATTATCTTCTCCATGTTTCAGTCTTCTTACTTCATTTTAGTCACTGCTCACTCTTGCAAATGTCAGTACTTAAACCTTTACAAAATACTTAAGGTTTAGAAGTAATGTTCTCATGGCATTATAAATCCATATATTTGATTGAATACCAAACATGGAAGAACTAGTTATCTTTTGATCCAATGGAAAATAGCATGGGCTCGTGATCCATGATCAAATTTAACTTCTTCATGTTCCAGTCCTTTCACCTCAAATATACATTTGGGCAAGTTTGATTTCTTAGTCCTTTTTTCTTGTTATGGAAACGAGCATCTATCACAACATGTCTTAGAATAAGCCTTCTTTTGTCCTAGGTATTGGGGCCTAGATTAGGTATACTAATCACCTTTTAAACCATGGGAAATTGACTTTCTTCTTCTTGACACTTCTATGATAGTAAATTATGGGAGTGTTTTGAAGTATGAGTTTCTATGATTGCCATGTTATTTCCAAAAGAAAACCTCAACATGCTACACAACTCCTACATGGTCATTCCAAGTTGTTTATATCAAAATCAAAATGAATTGATCATATGTACATGTCAGCTAGTTGACTAACCCTAGTCAACTTCTAACTCAAGGAAATTCCATTTTACTTCAATATGTCAATTTACAACGTATATTTGATAATTGCTCTTTCTAACAATTTACAATGCAATGTTTGAAGTAACCTATGAAGAGCTTTAACAAAGGCATGATCTTTCCTTTCGTTTAAGAGAAATATTCCCAAACTACGAATTTGACAAGATTGATCATCATCATAGCTAATCCTTTCAAAGGTTTTATAGCAGTAGATTTTAGTGGATAAGGTTATTGACGTCATTCAATAAAATTCCATTATAGTTTGTTTTACTTATCCTTATAAAATAATCACCCTAAATAATTTTAGAAGGCTAGGATCCATATTTGGCTCCATGATGTGTAAAGGGATGCCGTAAACACACCATAAAGTTATTTAGGTAGGCAAAGCCCTTTGCCAATTTCGATCACTACGAAACTCGTAGATCTTTGAGATTCATTGACTATCAATGGCATGTTAATCTCGGATTATGTTCATCTCAAATTCAATGACGGGGTCGTCGCGGATCACTGAACAGATGGTGAATCGACCATACAAAATCGCGTGGTCCCCGACTCAAGTTACGCTTGAGATTCGCGAGTTCCACATCATTTTCTACCTATACTCTCAAATTGACGTGTCGGTTAACCACGCGAGCTCCATCAACAAGTTATAAAGAGAATGTGCAACTTTTATGGATAACATAAGATTCACATTAAATAGACTGAGAATTAACCTTGCAAAATCGCATGGCCCCCGGCTCAAGTTATGCTTGAGATTCTCGAGTTCCATATCATTCTCAACTATACTCTAGATTGATGTGCCGGTTAACCACACGAGCTCCACCAACAGAATATAAAGAGAATGTGCAATTTTCATGGATAATATGAACTCACATTCTATTAATAAAACGGGATTTTGTTTTATACTTGTATTTAGAATACTTTTAGATTGACCATTATCACTATCAAACCCTTTCGGTAACTCCATTCTCAAAATGCAATAGGGCGGTGAGGGTGGTAAGCACGAAGCATATTAAAAACCGACATCATTAGGAATCAAAGAGACCTCCTTAAACCCCTACATTAGAACGGGTGAGACTAGTCGAGGTAAGACTGACAATGTCAATATTTAAACACGCGAGGGCGCATGATGTAACTTTCTTATACATATAATAGACACAATTCTAATATATATAAATACAAGGGGTAAATTTAAAACTCTTTAAATTTAGTTGTCTATTATTAATTCTAATTAATTGCGAGGACGCAATGTAACAATTAATAAATCATGAGGGGTAATATTCAAATTTATAAATCCATATAAATAATATTAAATATTTAAATTCACTATTTAAATAACAAATAAATATTCAAATTCAAATAAACACATTTAAATAATATATATCAATTAATAAATATTCAAATTCAAATAAACATATTTAAATAATATTTATCCATTATCAAATAAATATTCAAATTCAAATAAACACATTTAAATAATATTTATCAATTTTCTAGATTCAAAAACAATTTAAATTTGGTATTTATCCATATTTAATAAACCTTCATATTCGAAAAAATGGCAAAAATCCGAAAACCCTAATTCTGCCGAGCTCACGTCGTGAGCTCCTAGCTCTCACGTCGTGAGCTGCGACTAGGGTTTTTAACCATTACGAATTTTCAATTATCCTTATACCATTCAATTTCAAACAAGTATTTTCAGAAACATGGATCTAGGGTGATGGTAACCATGAACCAATGGCTCTGATACCACTGTTGGGTTTTCTATGCATCAAATACACTCTAAAACTAGGCAGCAGAAAAATCGAAACAACGATATACCTAAGTGTATATGCATCCTATGGATCTATGGCTTCATGCTAATTACATCAACCCTAGAAAACTAAAACATAAGTAAGAAAACATACCTCTTATGTAGCCCTTGATATCCATGCTTGAGATCTTGAATCTCCATGAAGTTGCTTGGATGAAAGGACCCAAACCAGAATCCCTCTAATGGTATCACACCCAATGACACCAAAGAGTGGAATAAAAATAACTAGGAGAAGGGTCAATTTCACAAACCCAAAGGGGTTAGAAATCGTTCCTAAGAGGGGGAGGAAGAAGGGTTGGCGAATACTTCAAGCCAAGGTGCAAGGAGGAATGGAATCCCTAAGGCCCTATTTATAGCCTTGGATGCCTCCTAGGGTTTAGTACTCCTTCCCATGTGGGATGGGAGCATAACCACAAAATTTCACTCCTTTCCCATGTGGGATGGAGTGATTTTCATCCAACCCTAATTCCATAAGGTTCTGGAACATTCCTGATTGACCAACTATCGATTAATGAACATTCAACCCTTTAATTAATTAAACTATTACTAATTCCCATAATATATTTCCAAAATATATTTCCAATTAGTTTCTAATTAATTATTAACTATAATAATTAATAAACCAATTTCTCCTTTATTTATTCTACTCAATTTGGGTCTTGAGGGCAACCCAAAAGGACCATGCTATTATTAGAAATATGACCAATAGTTAATGACCTTGGACACTATTCCAACATAAGCCTCATAAGATTATCAATAAATAATTATATAAAATTATATATATCATAAAAAACATAATTTTATATCTAAATGAGAAATATGATAAGTCACTAAGTTAATAGCATAAAAGTGAAGCACAAAATCCTTAAATGTCAATAACACAAAAGTCTAGCATAAAAGTCTTGAATGCATGGAACCTAAATCCTTAAATGTTAGCAACACAAAAGTGAAAAGTCTAGCACAAAAGTCTTAGAGGCACATAGCCCAAATTCAAACATTATTAAAGCAATCATTTTCTGGCGCATCGTTCACACGATAGATGTCATCTTCATCAACCAAATTTAGTCCATCATCATCTTCATCCACCAAATTCACTTCAACATTTTTCCGCTTCCTAGATGAAGAACTTTTACCTCTCTCCCCAATTGCCCTACAAACTACATCAATTTCATATTCCTCACATGCTTCATCATATTCATCACTCGGGTTGGCTATCCACTCATCATCAGACAACACCTCATCAACAACTAATGGATCATCATACTCTTTTAGCTTAGTCTTCCTGATAAACTATTGCTTCAATTTCTTATTGTACATGATGTACACCAAGTTATCCATCCTATCAGTGCTCAATCGGTTTCTTCTTTTTGTATGAACTTGATTAAACGTATTCCAGTTTCATTCACATGCCGAAGCCGAACAAGTAAGACCCAATATATTCATCGCAAAGGCATGTAGTTCTGGAACTTCATCTCCATAATGGCCCCACCATGTGACTATATAAGTTAAATGAATAAAAAAATTAATAAATAGTATAATTATGCAAAATAATAAAATAGAATAATTATAACTTATAAGTTATAACTATTTATTAGTTACCAGGGACACGCTTCATATATGAATTCAAAGAAGCTCTACATCCAAACATTCCTTTTTTCTATCTGTAGTCATCGAGTTGAGCTTTGATCTTCATATAAATATCATTACTCTTAATTAATTTGTCCATGCAATTATACAATCCTCTCTTAATTTCCGAATGCTGGGAAACATTAGGACTCCATCTAAAATCTAAATTGAGGATTCAAGTAGTAGGCAGCCGCATGCAAATCCCTGTGCATTTGATGTTCCCATTTTTCATCAATGATATCCCAAATCTCTTTATAAGAAGAGACTTCATTATCAAAGTTCTTTGCAATTTTTTCTTTGCACTCATCCATCGCAACGTAAATTAAAGCCATAGTCGGTGATTGCTCACCATCAACAATTCTCAACACTTCGACAAGTGGATTTGTGGTTTTAAGAGAATAAACCACACTAGGCCAAAAACCTCTCTCGTCCATGATTATTTTCTTTATCTCTTTTCCATCAGCTTTCTTTGCCCAATTACATCTCCCCCATTCTGTTGAAACAAACATCTATTGTAATGGTTACTTCAATTCATACATTGTAACATCCCTAGATAAGGTATGTATTAATGACCCTTAATTTTATTGAATTGTCGAAACTAGCCTTTAATTGTGAAATTGGTGGCAAATAAGTACGCGGGGCGTAGGCGTGTGTACGCTCAGCGTACTCATGTGCGTATTATGGACATGGAGGCCACCCAGTACGTTAGGCGTACCAGAGGGTACGCTTGGCGTACTAGGCTCAGAGTGTAAACCCTAATTGTGTTGTGTGTCCCTATTTAAGGAACATGATGGCCTCATTTCCAGCCACCATTTCCAGCCTTCAACTCCCCTCAAACCCTAAATCCCGTTTTCATAGCTTGTGTGAGCATTTGAGGCTTATTGAGTGATCTTGTGGGATTCTTTTGTGAAGAAGGAGCTTTGAAGGAAGAAGAGTTGGTGCCCAAGCTTTTGGATCTAATTTTCCCTGTGGTTGGTGCATCATTCATAGGTATCAAGCTCAAAGATTTCTCATTGTTTTGATTAGTTCATGTTTTGGTCCATTTTTAGGGTTTTATGTCCCAAGCTTGAAGCTTATGAGTTTGATGAAATCCAAAGCACAATACATGTCCATTTAGGTGTTTCTAGTCGTTTGGACTCATAAAAATGAGATCTTGGTCATCAAGATCTCTCCATGCATGAGTTATGAGGACTTTTATGAGTAAAGGATGAGAGTTTATGAGTTTTAGACTTGTCCAGCCATGTTAAGGCTTAAAGTCACCAACTTTGTGAAGTAATAGACTCTAATTAGCCAAGATTTGAGATTGTAGCTATGGTCTTAACGGATTAAGACCAGGAGAGTAAGAAAAGTGAGCCCGAGACGTACGTCGAGCGTACTCCCAGCTACGCGCAGCGTAGCGCTGAGCCACCCCGATGCATGCATGGTCAGTTGTACGCCCAACGTACGTGCTGGGTGTGGACTTCCGTTGACTTTTAGGGTTTTGGTCAAGTTGTGGACTTTGGAGGCCATGGAGGGGTAAAAATGGTCTTTTACCCTTCCGAGATTTATTAGAGGAACTTAGCCTAACATCTTTTAAGGGTTGTTAATATCAATTATTAATTAAAGGTATATGTGATATATGTTAGGCGGAGTCTAGATCAGCAGTTCGGGTGCGGGATATACGTGCTTTACTTTACGAAGTGAGTCTTCTCACTATACTTACCTGAGTGGTAATTACTGTGCGACCGGAGGGTCTTATTTGTGTTATTAACCAGAGGGTCTTACTTGCTTATACTGAGATATGTGATATTATGCATTCTGTCTTTGTGAATTATGTTGTTATATTACTGTGTGTATTTATTGATTTATGACCGGAGGGTCCATACCAAGCCGTGAGACCGAAGGGTCTTCACTAAGACACATCACCGGAGGGTCCTTATCGAGATATAGACATGAGAGGCTAATTATTTATATGTGTGGTATTTTGGGGAACCCACTAAGCTTCGTGCTTACAGTGTTTGTGTGAAATGTGTTTCAGGTACATCTCAGGATCGCGGGAAGGCGCCGACATGATTGTACACACCAGTTTGATGATTTGTGTTTTTGAGGATTCTGGGATATTTGGAAAATAATTTACCGATGTTTTGTGTTTGGGAAAATTTCAAATTGACTTGATAAATGTTAAACTATGTTTGTGTGGAAGTTTTAAATTTTGGAAATTTTGTTTAAAAATTAGAGTGTTACAAGTTGCTATCAGATCCTTGGTTTGAGGGATTCGAATGTACCCTCGGGTATGTCTGGACTCAAACTGAGGGTTTGAGGAATCTTTCAAAAAGAAATGATTTTCTAAACAAGCAAAGGATTTTAAGAGGAAACGAGACGAAGCAGTGTGTACAATCAGCCAGAGACCGAGCTCCCTGCTGGATGGTAGGCTAGGTATTTCAGAGAATTTGAGCTAGAGTTGTCTGATTCATGATGCCTTAGCCTAGGAGGTTGTTTCTTGATCGACACTATTTTCCATTTGCTCTATGTGTGTTGCGTAGTGTACATGGCAGAAATCTTTAAGAGATAGATATGAGTGGAAGAGTAATCTAAGAGGGGTACCTAGATGTTTAGCTTGAGAAGTATTCTGAGAGAGTATTTAGATATCCATGAGGGATAAAGTACCTGTGAATTAGGGTCCTAAGAGGAGGACTTGGGACAAATACGGGTTGGTGTGGAAGGTAGTATTGGGCCCGTAATACTGAAAGCACCAGATCCGTACGCGACTCAAGTAAGAATATTAGGGTACTAAGGATCATATAGGGGCATGTAAATGTGTGTGTGTGTATTTTATCATGTTCCTGATGATTTCTGTGTTTGTATTCCAGAGAGAGACTATGGTGGTTACCCGAGGTTCAGACTCCGGCAACCCTGAGAGGGCGAGTACCAGTGACGAGGAGATCCGCAGGATTATTGCGGACGAGGTGGTCGCAGCTATCAGAAAGGTCATTCCGGAGATGTTCGGGTCTATTAAGACTACGTTGATCGAGACTTTTGATGAGCGTTATGTTGCTGTCACTGAGGCTGCCGCTGCCGCAGCCACCGCAACTCTTGCAACTGCAAGGCCATAGGAGGTGATTTGATGATGTTTCGAGAGTTCAGCAACACGAAGCCACCAGAGTTTGATGGGACCCAGGACCCGATTGTTGCGATGAGATGGATCTCTGACGTCAAGGGATTTTTTTATACTTGTTCATGCCCTGAGAACCCGAAGGTTCGATTTGCGCTGAACTAGCTTCGCTTGGGAGCGAATGACTGGTGGAAGTTTGTGACGACTGATTACACTCCTGCAGATCATGCTGCAATGACTTGGGAGAGATTCACCCATTTATTTCAAGATGAGTTCGTTCCCCAGGTGGAGAGGCAACGGTTGGCCCATGATTTTCTATCTCTCAAACAGAAGACAGAGATGGTGACAGAGATCACGAGGATGTTTCATGAGAGAGCGTTGTTCTTCCCTGAGCACATGGCTACCGAGCAGGCACGTATGAGCCGGTATTTGAGCATATTGAGGAGGGAAATTCGAGAGTTCGTTGCGAACTCATCATATCGGACATTGGCTGAGCTACAGACCAATGCCAGGAGGAGAGAGATCAAGTTGGAGACTCAGACGAGGGAGGAGAGAAAGTCTCATGGGAGAGACAGTAGACAAAAGCAGTCACAACCGGCGACCAAGCGGGCTAAAGCCCTTGATTCTAGAGCAGGAGGCCAGAAGGGCCGCACTTGTGGCAAGTGCGGTAAGAGTCACGGGGGATCTTGCCGACATGGGATTTACTATAAATGCGGCAATGAGGGGCATATGGCGAAGGATTACTCGAAGGGATTTTCGGTTTGCTTTCATTGCAACCAGACTGGCCACCGGAAGGCTGAGTGTCCTCAGCTCACTCAAGGAATAACCCATGCCTCTGCTCCTGCCGCCTTACGTGTTACTGATGGTAGGCCGGTGAAGGCCGAGGCTCCGAGAGCTCGTAGGAGAGCCTTCCAGCTGACTACGGAGGAGATCCGCGCAGCACCTGACGTTGTTGTTGGTACGTATCTCATTATTCATGTTGTTATTATGGATTGTTTATTCTTATATTATGTTTAATATAGGTACTTTTCTTGTGGATTATGTTCCTGACTTGGTGCTATTTGAATCGGGTGCGAGTCGATCCTTTGGTCGTCGCATTAGTGTTAGACGCAAGGCTTTGAGTCGACCACTGAGGGTTTCTATAGCCGACGAGCATGTGGTTTTTTCCACTGATGTATTCCGGGGTTGTGTTTTGGAGATTTTTCGATGTTGAGTTTCCGATAGATCTGGTGCCGATAGCGATGGGAGATGTATGCGTCATAGTGAACATGGATTGGTTGAGCCTATTTGGAGCTGTGATTGATTACGAGCGTCATATGGTGACGATTCGATACCCTAGTGGGGGAGTACTTACTGTTTATGGCGAGGGAAGTAGATCGGGATCAGCTTTCTGCTCTGCCGCAGGGCAAGACAGAGTCTGCAGCAGGGATGTATGGGCTTTTTAGCTTATGTAGTGGATACTCAGGTTGTCAAGGAGAGATTGATTTCTGTTTCCGATGTTCCAGTGGTATGTGATTTCCCGGATGTTTTCCCTGAGGATTTGTCGGGTGTGCCTCCTGAGAGGCAGGTGGAGTTCCGGATCAATTTGGTTTCGGGGGCGACGCCTATTGCCAAGGCGCCATATCATCTCGCGCCGCCCGAGATGCAGGAGTTATCCCCGCAGCTTCAGGACCTGTTGGGGAAGGGTTTCATTCAGCCGAGTAGTTCGCCGTGGGGAGCGCCGATCCTTTTTGTCAAGAATAAGGATGGTTCACACCGGATGTGCATCGATTACCGGGAGTTAAACAAGTTGACGGTTAAGAACTGCTATCCATTGTCGAGGATCGATGACTTATTTGATCAGTTGCAGGGAGCGTCTTGGTTTTCCAAGATTAAATTGAGATATGGATATCATCAGATGAGGGTCCGCGAGGAGGATATCCAGAAGACGACCTTTCTGACTCGTTATGGGCATTATAAGTTCGTGGTGATGCCTTTCGGGCTCACCAACGCACCTGCAGCGTTCATGGACCTCATGAACCGGGTGTGTAGGCCCATGTTGGATTGGTCGGTGATCGTGTTCATTGACGACATTTTGGTGTACTCGAGGTCTAGTGAACAGCATGAGGAGCATCTTCGGGATATTCTTGGAGTGTTGAGGAGGGAGAGGCTTTACGCCAAATTCTCCAAGTGTGATTTCTTGTTACGAGAGGTCCAGTTCTTGGGACACCTCGTTAATCAGAACGAGATTTTGGTCGACCCGACCAAGATTAAGGCAGTTATGCAGTGGGAGGTGCCGAGATTCCCATCCAAGATCAGAAGTTTTATTGGCTTGACAGTTTATTATCGAAGATTTATCAGGGATTTCTCCAAGATTACTGTCCCTCTCACCAAATTGACCAGGAAGGGAGTTGTTTTTGCTTGGGGGACTGAGCAACATGCATTATTCGAGACTCTTCGCCAGAGGTTGTGCGAGGCTCCGGTAGGACTTCGTAGCCGACCGCGATGCATCTATAGCGGGATTGGGTGTTGTGTTGATGTAGATGGGGCACATGATAACGTATGCGTCGAGGCAGCTGAAGCCTCACGAGACGAGATATCCCACCCATGATTTGGAGCTGAGGACGGTGGTATTCGCCCTCAATATTTGGCGCCACTATCTCTATGGTGTCCGAAGTACCATATACACAGACCATAAGAGCCTGAGGCACCTTATGGATCCGCCCAACCTGAATATGAGACGAAGGAGGTGATTGGATGTAGTGAAGGACTACGATTGTGAGATCTTGTATCATCCATGCAAAGCTAATGTCTTTATTCAAAGCTCCTCAAGGAATCATTGATAAGCTTGAAATGATCAGAAGCAGATTTCTTTGGGGGAACCGTGGTGAACCCAAAAAGAGAATTCATTGGGTGGAATGGTCAAAAGTCATCGTACCAATATCTGACGGGGGTCTTGGAATCGGCTCCTTATTTGCGCAAAATACAGCTCTCCTAGTCAAATGGTGGTGGATGATGATGAATGAAAAAGACAGTTCTTGGAAGATGATTATTGATAACATTCACAATCTGCATAATAAACAAACCTCTTATATTGCTAGGAAATCCACAAATGGCGTTTGGTGCAACATCTCCAAGGCTGTAAAATCCATCTCGAACCTAAAATTGATGTGAATGAGATATTTAAGCTTATTCCAGGTTCTGGTGTCAAAATTCTGTTCTGGAAGGACAGTTGGTGTGGTGATACTTCTTTTCAAAAAAAAATCCCTAATTTGTACTCGTTAGAAACAGTAAAATGTTGTGCTCTTGAGGACCGACTATCTAGCAATGGCTTCTCATGGATGTGGAAGTTAGAGCATATGGGCGCTATCGACACTAATGAACTTCTACAATTATACAAGGATATTGGAATGTTGACACTTGCGAAATCTTCCAGATATGGTTTTGAATTCACTCTGAACCCTAACAGGGAATACACCGTCAACGCCATGATGAGGTTGCTAGAATCTAAATTGATTTTGTATAAAGGTCTATCCATCTGTTGGTTAAATTTGATACCTTTGGAAGTAAGATGCTTTATTTGGAGAGCTTCATTGGCTAGAATTCATGTGGTTGATGCTTTGATGGTCAGGGGTGTTAACACTACAAATATTACTTGCCCTTTATACAACAAGGAGAATGAATCAACAGATCATCTGCTCGTTACTTGTAACTATACTCAGGAGGTACAAGATTGGATCCTTAAATGGTGTCGAGTACAAAGGAAAAGATTCTTGAATGTTAAGGAATTCATTGATTATGCAGCTATTTGGAAAAACTGCCCTAGGAAAAAAGAGATTCTAAACTTGGTGTTCTATTGTCTTCTGTGGAATATTTGGTTGGTCAGGAATGACAACATTTTTAAGAAAATTGTTGCACCACCGACAAAAACTGCGGACAACATTGTTTCCTCATCCTATGTCTTGTATAAGTATAGAAACAATTGTGGATGTGGAGCGTGGAGCGATTGGCGTATTTCACATTTCTCTCACTTTTTTCGTAGTTATGTTCCTTTGTCAGATAATTATTATCTTTACTTTTCTACCTGTATTTGTATTTCTGCCTCGTTTTAGCTTCTTGCTTGTGAGTGCTTGTCTTTTTTTTTTTTTTAATATATTTGTCGTTAAAAAAAAATAGTATTCTCCCAAATATGGGGGAATACTATTCATATCTCAAAAAATGGAGATAAAAATAGGATATAGTTGTAGAAGAATGTGAAAAAAATGAAGTTTGGGGTAGGTTGGAGATGCTCTAAAAAAAATTATCAAAATTAGGCTGTAAACGAACCGAACGAACACAAACAAGGGTTTGTTTATGTTCATACGTTTAAGTTAGCCGAACAAATAAACGAACATGAACGGATAAACGAACGATGTTCGTTCGTTTAACAAATTTCTTGTTCATGTTCGTTCGCTTATGTTCGTGAACATGATAAACGAACAAAGATAAATAAACACAATTGAACACATATGAACATAAACAAATATATAATATAGTAATGTAATAAAAAACAATTGAACATATATATGAACATAAATAAAATTAATCGAACGCATATAAACAAACGTTTACAAACATAAATAAACGAAACCATCGTGCATGTTTGTTCGTTTAATTAAACGAACGAGAATTTATGTTCATGTTCGTTCATTTATTAAACAAACAATCATAAACAAGCTTTCTACGGAACAAATCCCAAAAAATTAATCAAAAATAAGAGAAATGCCAAACTAGCCCTTCAATTTGCATTTGTCCCTCGTTAACAATTAACAACCATTGAAATCCCCAAATCCCGCCCTATTCTTAAACCCACACTCGCAAGCTTCCACTCAAAAATTTGCAGCGCGCAAACACATAATAATCATAGACTCTACGAAGATCGGGAAAAAAACCCCATACCAGGAGTGCCAAATCCATCGATAGTTAAACACCCATTAATCAATATGGAAACAGATGAAGAAGACGTTTCAAGAATTGTTCCTTTCCAGCTCCAATTCGACAAGCCAGTAGCGTCCCAGGTTTGAAAAATCCGTGCCCTTTAACCCTTTTCAAATCTGTATAAACCAATGCTGTGTGTGGATAGTGTGTAAAAAATGATTCCTTCTAAAGATTTTAGCACCTGTTTTCCTTAATCTAAAGAAATAAAATTCAAATTGTGAAGATCAAAATAGCTGAATGGAACCCAGAGAAAGATTTGCTGGCTATGGTTACTGAGGATTCAAAGATTTTGCTGCATCGTTTTAATTGGCAGAGGCTATGGACTATCTCCCCAGGTCACCTTCACCTCTCCAGTTCTTTTATTTGTGAAAAGAGAACCAGTATTTGATTACTGCATATGTTTATACCAAACTTGTAGCTATTTTGACAAAGAAAATCCTTAATTCTTTTACAGGAAGATGCATAACATCTTTATGTTGGCGTCCTGATGGTAAAGCAATAGCTGTTGGGCTTCAAGATGGGACTATTTCATTGCATGATGTCGAAGTGAGTTCTTCTGACTAACCTCATAAATAAGCTTCAACAATCTCAAAATTATCATCTCACTATAAAGTTTATCCAAGTAATTAGTCTTAATTGTTACCTTGAATCTTGAATCTTGAGTTTATGACATATATACATATTGTATTAAGCAGAATGGGAAGCTGTTAAGAAGTATGAAATCTCACACTGTTGCTGTTGTATGCCTCAATTGGGAGGATGATGGAGGTGGAGAGATATCAGTATGATTTCTCCTTATATTTTAAACTTTTTTGAATAGTCTTTTGGAAAACAACTCTTTCATGCTTTTTTAAATGTGTGTTGTTTAGGATGACAAATTTCATACCTCAAAATATGAAGATAGAACCTCTCGTTTCTTTCCTCCTCCTCCAAGAGCTCCTAGGGCACCTGGACTTGTTCCTGGAGAAACCGGTTTCATGGATGAAAGTGAAAATTTATCACAAGAGTTATCAAATTCCTCACATCAACGTTTCAACATTCTTTGTAGTGCAGATAAAGATGGAATCATAAACTTTAGTATCTTTGGAATATTTCCGATCGGGAAAATTGTAAGCTTGTTTTCATACATCCGATACCATGTTCCTTATTTGTCATTTTGTGGGCCCCATTTTATTTTCTCCTCAAGGACCCACAGAATAAAAATGGTAAACAATGACAATTGTATCTTGGTTTATTGGCTTACATGATTCTTTTTTTGTGTTGGGTTGCAGGATATCCATGATTTTTCTGTTACTTTTCCACTTGAAAAGGAGCATGTTGATTGCAAACTGCTGAATGCTTCAATCTGTAAGGTATGTCAATGGGACAAAAAATGAAATATTTTGTCTCAACAAAAAGGGTGGAACAACTTATAGCCAAAATTAAAAGTTTATAAATTGGTCTTGTTGACAGGTGGCATTGTCCAAAGATCTTTGTCATGTGACAGTACTATGTTCTGGGGAGCTACAAGTTCCAAGGCATGATTTGCATGGTTTCCATTGCTTAACACTCGATACCTCAATATTCTTTAAAAGGTTACTTTCAAATTTACCGATTTACTTATCATTATACTACAAAAAACACATATACTAAGAAGCATCTTAGTGATTTATATGACACTGATTCTTAATTGTTGTAGGAGAAATGAGCTTCACCAGGTTGCTCAACAAGCTTCAAACATTGAGGATTTAACAGAAGTCATTAGAGCCTCATTGTCTGTCATGTCTAAGCAATGGTCTGATGCCATGCACACATTTCATGACAAATTTGATTCCCTCTCTAATCTCATTCATGACCATGGTAACTACTAACAACCCTAAAATCAATCAAATTTGACAATTCCATTCTGATGATTGTTGACTTTTTCTTGCTTATCAAACACAGGATTGGACTCAACTCCACAAGAGGAGTTTCTTAGCCTTTTAGGTGGGGCCCGCACCAGTCCAGCTGTTCACCAATTTCTATTGACTTCACTTGGTGAAGCGGTATATCAATCTTTACTTCATTTTATCCATTACAAAAGCCAAAATTTGGGATAAAGGTTTCATTGATGAAAGGTTATTATTATCAGGGTCTTAAGCGGATAATGAAGTTGGTTTGTGGGGCTGGAAAGGATCTTCAGGTTATTGTTCTTGAACATTTACAGGTAAGAATAAGATTGAGATTGTTTAAAGTTTGTAGTTGAAAGTTAAAAACATCAGTCACTTTTGAAGAAGAATCTTTTGGTGTTCAGCCTGCTGCAGAGATGATTGGATTTAGATTAGGGGAATTAAGAGGACTTTCTAAGTGGCGTTCACGTTATAAAAGTGTTGGTTTGGATGAGAGTTTAATAGATAATGCAACTGAGAAGGCTGGTATACTGTTGATACAAGTTGAAAGGTTTATGAGGGTTTTGGCCTCTTCTGTACAACAGGTGCTTATTACTTTTTGAGATATTCTTCTTTTCATTTCTTTTATAGTAAATGACCATTTTGCCCTTATGTCTTAGAGTTTAAGGACATGTTTCCTTTTTATCTCATAATGGATAAAGTGTTATATGCATAAATGATGTTTGTTTGGAAAAAATGTTAAATGAACAAAGACTGTTTCTTTGTTGGATGAATGAGAACCATTTGAATGAGATTAAATGACCATTTAACCCTTATGTCTAGAGAGTTTGTAAATCTTTATGTTCAGTTATACAAACAAGAACTCATAGGTAGTTCGGTGTTCGCTTATCCATTTTGCTTCATACTTTCCTAAAGCTAGTATTATTAATCTATATCCACATGATTCTCTTAATGTCACTATTGAAGATTTGAAGGGCATTTTATAAACTATAGGTCAAGTCAAATGCTTTGATTATAATGAGACAGTTTGAGCAACAATAGTAAAAGGGTGAATTGGGAAAATTGCAAGATACTTTACTCTTTTTACAAATATAGACAACATACTTTTATACTGATAGTAGCAATATGTAACCCATAATTTGCATTACAAAGGAAAGCAATTAAGTGCTGATATTTTTTTGATGCAGTTTTCAAACTTCTTCAATTGGCTTCACAAATGTGTGAAAATGTTAACATCAGAACCAAGTGACCAGCACCAGATTCTTGCATTCAATTGGTTGTTATTTTTAGTTCTCTTTTGTTTCTTATAGTTATATTCAAGATTTTATGATGGCTAAATACCTCTTTGTTTTTTCAGTGAACTAGTTATTTTATTCTTGAAGTATTTATATGATCAAGATCCAGTAAAACGGTTGCTCGAATCAACAGAAATTGATCACAGTATTGAAGTTGACTTGTAAGTAACTTACCCATGTGAAATTGGGAGACATTTTAATCAAGATTGAATCTTTTTTACCCACCCACATGTGATTTTGGTCCAGAACATGCTTAATTTCTCAAAGTTCTTATATATGAAATTATATATACATTTCTTAAACCTTGATTCTTCAGGGAGACAATGGAAAGAGTACAAGAGTTGGCTCATTTTGGGGGTTTCACAGATTTAGATTACTTGCGAAGAACATTAGCAAAAGAATTTCAACAAATGGAATCTTGGTATGCTTTCTTTCTCTACTCAATATTATATATGTATGTTTGAAATCAAACAAACTAATTTTCGGGTATTAGTATGTTGTGTCTTAAGGATATGACAAGTTGCTTATTGATTTTGAATGTGAAAACTAGTTCATGTGACCCAGAGTTTAAAAGCTTTTTAGAATTGAAAAAACTTCAAATTTTCAAGTTAACTGCTTGTAAGTTGTAACCAATATATACAAATTTTGTAGTCCATTTTGATTTTCTGATACTTGCTAATCACTTTTTTCTGTTAAAAATGTCACCAGAATAAAAAAATGTTGCTAAACAAGAACAACACCTCACTTTTCAAATGATATCCTAAAGTAATGACTCAATCACTGCAGTTTCAAAGAGGCCTTCCAGATGCCTTTCACTACAATTTCCAAAAAGATCCTCTGCCAAAACTTGTTGCCACTGTTTCCTGTTGAATCTTTGCCAAAATCTGCATTGTCCACTGTTCCAACATCCATTTCATTTTACAAGGTATCTTTTTGCTAATTCTTCAGGTTCTTAAGGCCCTGTTTCTGACACTGACACTGATGTTTTGTCCCACCCAAAAAGGTAGAACAAGGTGGTACAAGACTCACTCTCAATCTCTCGTCTGTGCAAAAGACGTAAATACCCTTCTCATCCTCATCATTGAAAGTAACCCTAGAAAGGTTGTCCAGTCCAATCCAATCCCATTTACACATGATGCCACTAGACCAGCTGGATAAGAATAAGGATGAGAAGGGGCATTCACGTCTTTTACACAGACGAGAGATCTAGAGTGAGTCTTGTACTACCATGTGTAATGAAAAGGGGGCCTAATACTCTAATAGACGATTATGCCCCCGTAAGGCAATCATTATCAGTAGCTTTTGGAGCCCACATCTCATAGAAAAAGGGTCCATTTTGTTGCTACTGATTTGCTATTTGATTGTATGCAGGAACAACAGAGCTTTGTTGATTATGTATCTTTTAGATTACCCAATGAGCCTTCATCTGACCTAGCAAATTGCATAGTTGTTACAAGGTGTTTAATGCATGACTTAGAAGCTGTCTTGTTATGTGTTCCTGATGGCTATCAATGTGTCGATTTGTCTCTATATAAGGTGATTCATTGGCACTCCTGTTAATATGTAATGGTAGCAACAAGTTTTTTTTTTATCCCAAAATACTTTCATTTGTTTGTGTATTATAGCATCCTACTTCAGTTTCTTTATATCATAAAGTTTTACTTTCAATCTTTTTCTTAAATGCACTAAACTTTCAAAATTCTATGCAGTTATGGTCTTGTACTTAGTTTTTTCTTAAATATATTTTTAAGATATTGTACTTTGAAAATCTACCTCATTATAGCAGAAAAATCGCCTTGCATTTGGATTACATTGCTAGAATTGGTGGATGTTTTAAAGTACAATGTTGTAATAGGAAGAAATGAAAATAGGATGCTATAATAAAAAAAAATTCAACAGAAGTATGTTGTCATTTCTTGCATATTTAACTCCATAGAAAACACAAGCCAAGTTACTTTGTCAACATTGTGGTGATAACAGGAATGCCAACTTGTTCTACTGTTAAACGGGCCATCTTCTGTTTCTGAAAGCTCTGAAAAGGCTTGTATGATGATTGTGCAAGCAGATGATCTTCCATTTGTATCTATACCAACTTCTACAACATCAACCCCTTGGAAATTGCAACAACTTAAGGTACAAATCCCTCTCTTAAAGTTTCAACCATATCATGTAATAGCATTTTCCATTTCATTTTCATCTCAAGCTAAAAACACTTAAGATTTTCATTTTGTGGGTCCCACTTGTACTTACTGATATGATGTTTCACTACAGGACTCGATTGTATATCTGCAAATGGATAGTTTGAAAGTACGAGGAATTCCTCACTCTGTGATTGCTCCTCTAGCAGTTAGTGGTAAGTACCTCTCAACAAAAAATGTTTTTAGTTTTTTGTCCCACTAAAAAGGTGGAATAGGGACGTGTTCTTGATCCCTTCTTGTGTGTGGAAAATACGTAAATGCCCTCATCTTCATCATGGAAAATAGCCCTAGAAAACTTGTTCATGGCTTATGCCTACAAACACAGTCTTAAAGGACAAGAGATAGTTAGATACATCATTGTTGTAAAGCTATACTTTTTTTTTTTTTTTGGCTTTTTCAAATGTTTTGATCTTTGTTTCTTGGTTATATCTTCAGCATCTAGAGGCGTTGCATGTGTGTTTGCTGCAAGAAAGCGTGCTCTAGTTTACATTCTAGATGAGGATGAAGATGAAATTTCAGATGCAGAATAGCTTCATTTTGTTGTCCATTTATCTATTTTTCACTTTTCATATTCATCGTATTTACTAACTTAAACCTTTTCTTGTATATGATGGGTTTGATTTGGTGAAACTTTTCATATCCATCTTTAGTTTCAAGATCATAGAATATTAGATTTCAGTTTGTTGTAAATTATTTTATAAACCATCTAGTTTTTAGGATCTTTGAAGCCCTAAGCCAACAACCTTATAATATCAACAAATGGAAAAGCATCATCATTTAAATTATGTTGTCTAAATTGACTCCAAAAATGCAGAAAGAGGAACAAAGGTTGTCACTATTATTAAAAATTGTATCATAGCATACACCAGAAAGTTGTTGTCACATTTTAACAACACAACACAATTAAAAAAAAAAAACTAAGACAAAAAACATCAAACAAATCACTGTATAACTGAAATTACACCCTTCCATTCCAAAAGCTCAGCTTTTCTGAGCTTCCAAAAGTCACCTCAAGCACAATCCCCACCTTCAATGATCTTTGCCAAATCAATCCAACGGTTGACAAGAATCACTAACAAAACCTACCCTGTGATTATATAATAATACAACAAACATCATTCCTAAAGTCCAAGTTCAAGATTTCTTGATTGTTGTTGCCTTCAATCATGTCAAAAACAAGTGAAAAGCTTGCAACACTTGTGAGGTCAAAGTTGTTGTATAGTTTTTGCTCTGTAAACCTGATACCACTTGAATCTTTGATATTTAAGCAAAAACAAAGTGGGGGTGGGTTACCTTAAAAAAAGGAAATCCCAATTATGGGTCTTCCAATTCAACTATTTGTGCCCTTCTTTCGGCCGCCTGTTTCCTTATAAAGATTCCCCATCTCAAAGCAGCCTTAAGTTTAAGCCACCCCACCACTGCTTTCCCAGAAGTACGTGTTTTATCCACATCAAATCCATACCCAAAATTTGAAGGTGTATTAGGCACATAACCCGATGAATATGGATAATAGCTTTCATTAACATGGCTACCACCGGAGGTTTGACCATGGCCACCAGGGGTTTGACCACTACCCATGTTGAACAACCGAAGCAGATGCTGCATGTCTTCGTTTTCAAGCATTTCATGACTTCTCATTCGGATTTCTTCTTCGGGAAAGTAGTCATCTAATCCTCTAAATGAAGAACTCAAATTCAATGTGTTGGTGGGTCCCGAAAGGAATCCGGGGGTGGATGGTTGTGTTAATCCAAGGGCCAGGATGTTGTTATCATTCCTGGGAGGGTGTTGAGAGCTGTTGATCAAAGTGAATGAGGAGGAATCGAATTGAGTAGGTGCATTGAGATTCATGTTGTGTGAAGTACCATCATAACCTATAAAAGAAAACATCCATTACTCGAGGGTATTTTAGTCATTTAAACTAATAGGCTTGGAAAATGTAAACCAAAACAAGGTGGTCTCTTTTTTGACTTAATGGGAACATCCGAACATGAGTTCTAGACAATCATTTGATATTTGGCATCACATATAAACACAAGGGTAAAATGGTCATTTACCTCCAGTGGTGACGCCTGGATTGAGAGCAGGTTGTTGTTGTTGAGGGGCTGGAGGAGGTAGACTGAGTTGTTGATGGTCAAACGAATTTGAATAGCTTTGTTGACCGATTCCCATATCGATTTGTGGAGCTGCTGTTTTTTCCTGATGAGCCCCTAAAAATGATTTTCCATCATATTCAACCACATGCATCCAGTTATCATATGCCTTCTTCATCAAGGTATCTACAAACACCTGAATAAATACAAACAAAGTCACACTTGTCTCTCAAGATCTCATTTTTTTTTTCCAACAATTAAAGGCCCCTTCAACAATTTTTAGGGTATTTCACTAACCTTTTGATCATCGGAAAGGGCATCTGTTGCATAGTAATGTCCAGCAGCAACTAAGCCACTTAATTCATATATATGGTTGAAAACAACACCAACATTTCTCACATCATCTGAATAATAAACATATAGTTTGTGGCTCAAAATACAAGTCTTTGCATGCTCCACAAGAACATCCCACATTTTATTCGACATGCCACTCCCAAGTACCTATAACCAATTCCAACATACCACAATTAATAAAACCCTAAACCCTTTTAATATATAATTGGAACACAAATCTTACATTTCTTAGCTTCTTTTGATCTCTCACTACAAGGCGAAGAAAATCTTCTACACTAAATATTCCTGCTTTATTAAGCTTCTTGTGAAATGATCCATCTTTACCAATCTTTTCCAATCTCCAAACCTCATCGTTTAGGGCAGGTGGATAATGTTTCTTGTACACTGTAAAGCCAAAAGTCAAGAAAAAAAAACAATGTAAATGACCGTTTTACCCTTGTTCTTTTATCAAATTTAAAACAAACTTACATTCTCCTCGATGGTCCTTGACTGTGAAGGCATCTGTTTTTGCCTCACGAACACGAATTCCCTCACTATATCCTGAGGAAACTTTAAGCCCAAGTCTAAACTTTCTACTTCTTATCCAACTAGAATTGTCTGTAAAACTCAATTCGCCTAATGTCCCCACACCTTCTTTCAATACCACTTGTAATTCTCCAGATAAAAGTGGTCGTTTTCCTTCTCTTTCTTTTACCATATGAGTTTCAAATTCTTCTTGACTCCATCCTTCTTCATCTTCATTGTTGAAATCACCTTCAAGCACCACCACATCTAGTTTGACTGATGATTCGGGACCTGATGTCACCAAATGACCTGTGTTGGCATCAATTAAGACTACATGGATTGCAGCACCTCTTTCCCCTTCTACTTTTCCACCAGTGAAAAGAGGGAGGGATAGTTTGGACCTAAATTGTAGTTGCAAGTCTCTTCCATCGGGACCTTCTATACGCTTTGGTGAAACCCTGAATAGATTTTTAAAGAATCTTTAGCAAAGAGTAATCTTTTCTATGAAAGTTACAGTCTTTGAGATGATACAGAGGATCTGAATTGATTGACTATTTATCAAATATCTAAAAGACCCGTCCATTGAAAGTTGAAACAATTTTAAATGCAAGAAGTAGGAGTGTAATGATAAATTGTTAAATGTTTGTCTATGCAAACACTCTTCATTCTAGGACCAAAATACACAACATTATAAACTGGTTTCCTTAATCCTTATGATGTGACACTGGTTAAATGGTTATTTATTCAACAATGTTCCACTTTCTTTTATCAATTTATGCAACTGACACAAATTATGTAAACACTAAAAACGTTTGAATTGGTTAAACAGGTTACAGTTAAATTGTATATTTTGGTCCTCAAATAAAAAAAAAGGTTTTACTTTTACATATAAAGGTACTTCATATGATATGATCATATGACTAAGGATTGTTAAGTAACTAGGAAATCTTGTACCTTCCATTATTAAGTTTTGATGGGCCCAACTTTGCCAAGGCACGCTCAACTTCTTCACTAACCTGTTTAATCAGTAAAACAAATGGTGTAAGTGGTAAATATGAAATATCTCAAACTATGCTTTTATAAATATAATGCAAGAAACATTAGAAACAAGTTCAATAGTTTTTCTTTCTTGCTTTTTTTAGGATGGCAACATCTAGTTTTCAGAAAACTTTTAAGCTAAAATACTTGCAAAAAGTCTTTATCAAGCATTCAAGCCCACAAGACTTTTCATATATGAAAACTAGATAATAATTTCAATCATTTCTTTAATCAAAGGGTACTTAAAACATGAATTATAGTCAAATTTATACTTTTCATAATATAAGGATAAATTCTTTAAAATCAGTTTTGTACTATTATAACTGTGCATATCAGTCGTTTTTGGTGCTCAAATTCAATAACATAATAAAGAACTAAGAACTCATGCATTCAATACAATCCATTTTCTTTTTTGCTTTCTTTTAGCATATATGATTGAGAAAGATAGATGTAAAAGTCAGTCTCTTAGTTGATTCACTTGATTGATTAACTAATAAGATTTCATATAACAAACAGAAAAAAAAACACAGAAAATTTTACAATCCAGACACTTATGATATCTCACTAGGGATTTTAGATCTTACAACTCTTCGAAGAATCGGCTCCAATGATGAACAAAGTTTCTGCAAACTATCGACCTTTAAAGCTTCAACAATAACACTGCATAATAAAAATTCCCTTGAACATTTACATAAAATATGCTACAAGTATTCCAAAAGACACCAATTAAAATGTAACAGTGTTAATTGTTTTCTCTTCTCATTACTACACTCTATTTCCTCGTATAAGAGTAAAAAATTGGAAGTTTGATGATAATATTGATGATTGGCGTTGACTTATTCATGAATATCATAAAAAACTCAGGAGATTATGCATACGAAAAAACCCTAGCTCAATCGTTGCATAACTGACATTAATTGCCCAGAAAACAACAAAAGAACAAAATCCACTACCAAACATTAGTGACTTAGACCAAAATCAGCACAATAGTTGAACAATTAACATGATTTTTTGCCAGAAAATAAATAATGACAAAACCCACTTCATATATTGACAAATAATTTGCAAATTTTATATAAATAATTCAGGGAAAATACCTAGCGAGAGCTGGTCTCTTCTTATCGGGTTGACCCTCTTCGCTACTACTAGGATCTAATCCCCTTTTCTCCATGAAGTTTTTTTGCATTTTCTCGGTTCAAAAACACGAACCCTCGTTCAGATCTGATCTGATCTAATTCTTATTGATCTTCACAAAAACACACTAGAAATTGAAAAATTAAAAAGGGGTTCTTTAGGGCTCAATAGGGAATCCAATTAAAGGATGAAAAGATTAAAGACAAACAAGAAAGCGGGAAAATTAAAAGGAAATTTTACGCCTTGGTTTGCTTTTGTTTTGGGAAATTACCAAGAACTTTCAGGTCAGAATCTGGGAACTTTCTCTTTTTAGTCTCATAAATATTTATTCCATTAAAAGATAAAGGGTCTTCCATTGTGGTGGCCGGATAAGTTGCCTATCTACCCACTAAAATTTCTAAAGTTTCACAAACGACCCCTTGTGATTAAGATTATGTCATCTATGCTCTTATTTCTTAAAACGTTGACTAATTCTTTCTTAGAAGTGAATTTTTAATATTGTTCATCAAATCACAAAAGATATAATTAAAAGGAGTAAGTCAACCATAGTTAGTACAAAATTTCAACAGTAGTTATGAAAATTATTAGATTAAGTAATGTATAACTTTATTTGTTATTTTAAGGTAAGGAAAAGATAAAACTTGAGGTTACTAATGAGCATATTATGTAAGAAACCAACTTAAATAATACAATGGTTTCATGGATTACACTTTTACACAATAATATCAAAATTTGTGAGCCTTTTAGTCATAATGATCTTTTTGTATCTTCATAAAAACATGTTAGCAAATATGTATTTATAAACCAAGATACGTTTAACATATAAATTTTTATTAATCTCTTTGATATACCATGAAAATGTTTACTATTATTAGGTTACATTGAAGTCGAATAAATATACTTATACCATCTTTAATTAAAATGAAAGATCTATTGTGAAATAAATCCAAAATATGTAGATTAGGGTTCGAATTAGATAAGTGTACAATAAACTATCATGTAAATCTTCTTTTATTAACAAAAATAGAAATCTAACTATGGTTATATGCATCATATAAGTTAAATGTCAATCTCTCATTCAGAGATATAACCAAAAGGATTTAGAAGTTTAATTAAGCACTTAATTTACAAATGGTTGATTAAATTATAAATAAAAAAGTACCTCAAAATAAATAAAAAGAATACAAGTGGGGCTTAAATGTAAATTACTCTAAATCCCAATAATACAAATCCAATGTATCTACCTGGCCACATCATTTTTTTTATCATGAGTTTCTTCGCTGGATATGGTCCTTGACATTTTTTGACTTTTTGCAGTCCACTGAATCTGATTAATTGCAACGTACAATCACTAATACACATAGTACAAACCTCTATAACACACAACCCAAAGAAAAAAGTATACCCACAAAGGGGAAAGCAGTTGCAAAAAAAAAAAAAAGTAAAAAAACCAACCTACCAACCAACTTTTTAGTGATTGTACATCATGCATAGACGATTGTTCTTTAACATCTGATGATCAATCCACATACATGTGTTGCAACTTAAGTAGATAACTGTGTATCTGATTTATATCTCCTTCCACATTGCAGTGTGAGTAACATAAACAATAGCAAAAGAATGCACATCTTGTACACAGTGCACAAAAAGTTGTACTTAGCATAAGACAAAATAAATTAACAACCATTTCAGGGTTACATATGATAATTTTGCATATACTAACGCCTCTTTTCGACCTTCTTACCCTTTCTTTTATCTCTTTTGGTTTGAGTCTTGGGACGTGATCTTTTTTTCTCAACTCTCTTCATCGGCTTCTTCTTCATCACTGGCAAATTCACCTTCTTTTCGGACCCTAGGGGCAATTTGGGTATTTCACCAGCTACTAGGTTTCCATTCAAAGAGTCGTCTTCTCGAGAGATCTCACTCGTTGTCACCATGACCTTCACACTACCAGTGTCATACACTTTTGTTCCTATAATCAAACAGAAAGAAAGAAAGTCAGAATCAACCAATGTAAATGACTATTATGTCCCTGATTATACTGATTTAGTAGTCAAACAATTTCAAGAATCGTATCTGAATTAACTTCAGATTCTCAATAAATTCTTGAAAACTTGTTTATGTACCAGAAACTGATGTTAGATGTTCATCATCATCTTCTTCTTCATTATCTTCGTCTTCTTCAGCTTCTTTGACTTCACCATTTTCATTACCTTCACCATCTTGACCAGGTGGAGCTCCACCATATATAACATACTCTCTTTCTAGTTTTCTCTGCCAACAAATGAGAAAAAAAAAATGAAAACTATATAAATGGGACCCCAAAAATAAAAATACTACAAGTTTTAGACGAATAGGATATGGAAATTTCCCAATAAGTCTTGAATGGATGAATAATACTGTTTCTGTTTTGGACTGAATGAAGTGTCTGAATGTGAGTAAATAAATGAGCATATGGAGGAATTACCTTTTTGCGGAGCTCAATACGCTTGCGCCTTAAAGCTTCTTGTTGTTGACTTTGTGCTTCTTTTCTCCTCTTCTTCTTTCTCTTGTGAAACCCAGTCACAAAATCACTATAAATCCAAATACAAATCAGAGATAAACATGCTAAAACAATTTGAACCCAATGAGTTTTTAAGTGTCTTATTTTAACCAATGTTTGTGATCAATTAGTAGTCACTATGTTTCAATCAGACAATCTATCTCTATTCAATTGCCACATAACATTATTCATTATCCAACTATCATGAATTAAAATTTTCAAGACAAAGCTCTATGACTCACAACCAATGACTGTGTAAAACACCTTGGCCCTTGTCACATCTTAAAAGGTTTTTCATCAGTTAAAGGTTTCAAGCCAAAGCTCTATAATTTACAATTGTAAGTATATGAAAAAACTTGACATTAGCACATCAAGATAGATTGCCCATAATGCAAATTTGCTTCATAGCCTCAAATTTGTCATGCATATATCAAATTCAACCAGAAATTGCACACAATGTTTGTAAGACACATGAATTAGCACAAGCTAGGATCATCCATAACGCATAAAATCAAATCAAATCAAATAGAATAGTAACTAAAAACAACATGAGCAAATTCACAAAACTAGCACTTTCCAACTGGACTAAAGATTTAATGATTACTATATGTATTATCAGATGGTAGGAATGTTTCCTTAGAATTTGAAGACGCTTTTTGATTTCTAGGTCAAAGTGCGGCTGAACAGAGGGGGCATTTCGATGAAAGAAGGGTTAATTAGTGAGGAATTAATGAATACCTGAGGTCCTTTTCATTGAAGGAAACAGAAAGCGCTTTGTTCTTGAGAGATCTCTTCTTGATATGGCGAGCTTGTACCACTTGTTGTTGCGACTGCAAAGCGTCCCCCTCCTCCTCCATCTCCGTCGTCTCTTAACTCCCTATTTGTCTAAACAGCACCCGCCGCCGGTGAATATATGGCAAAACCCTTGGAAACTGAAAAGGCTTTTGTGTGTTTGTGTTGTGCTCTTCTAGTATTGTACTAAGTGCATACATTATGGTACATTGAATCCCAATAGCGACCAATAGGTCAAAGGTAAATAGCTGTGTAAACCAAGGTTACTAGTTCATGTCTCGTTAGGATACACGGGTGATATTTAGGATTAGATTAGGATTAGGATATTTTGCTGTTTCAAAAAAAAAAAAATTTTTTTGTATATACACTTATTAGGGATGAGCATATGGACCGGGGAACCGGCCGGAACCGAAACCCGATGGAACCGGTCGGGCCGGGACCGATACAATATTGTTGTGGATTTTTGGAATGGGGAACCGCTAGGAACCAGAACCGGTGGAACCGTCAAAAACCGGAACCGTATGTTGTTATTTCTCGAGGACTGGTTCCAACATTGAAGACACGGCAAGAACCGGTAGAACCGGCGGTCCGGTTCGGTTCTTAATTTCGGCAGACTTCGGTTCCCGGGCCGGGTCCAGCCGGTCGGTTCCTTTGGTCATCCCTAACCCTTACTAAACATCTGAATATTGTATTTACCCGACCTAACATCTAAATATCAAAATTTTGCCCTTCTTAATGTTTTTAAATATCATATATATCCAATTTTTTTTTTTTGATAATTTTTATTTATTTATAAGTTTTTTCATTTTCTTAAATCATTATAATTGAAAAAACATATTAAATGGACAATAATGCCTTGCTTCTAAATTCCAATACATCTCGTGATCACACAAAAATAAAAAACACATTAGATTACCAATCATATTATATAATAAGAACACTTTACCTAAAAAGTTAGTAATCAATCACTAATCATAACCCAACTTCCTAAACAATACCAAAAAAAAAACCTACGAAACAGCTAACAAAAAAAACCCAATATGGTTTCATGGTAAGCTATGAAACTATGAACTTCAAGAATAAACAGCTGATAGCACCAGAAATTTACCGAGCAGAGGATTAAAACTTTCAAATGCAGCTAACAAAAAAAATATACTTTCAAGATGAACCAACATTCAGGGACGAAGCTTATGTAGGGCCAGGAGGGGTTGTGGCCCCCCCCCTGTTTCTTTTTCATAACTAACCCTTAAGTATTAAATTTTTTACATATTAAGCCTAAAACTAGAAATTTTGACTTTGGCCCCCCCTATTCCTCAATTTTTATACATATTTTATTTTCGCCCCCCCCAAATCAACACTTCAAGCTCCGTCACTGCCAACATTAGCATTGTACATTCAATACATCACCAATATAAGCTTGAATTTTCAGGAACAAAACCAGCCAAAGCTCCATAACTTGAGAAGTAAAACGCATCAGCTATGAGTTACAACACACATTAGCATTGAGTTTTTAAGAGCAAACAAGAATTATCCATCTACTTTCAACTTTCAAGAATAAGTCAGCACCAAAACCCACATCTTTTAAGATGATAACCAAAATTCTTAATTGATTTACTCTAAAAATTCAAATCGATTTACCTCCAATATCATTTTCAGATGAACATTTCCAAAAACAAAATCGATTTACCCCTCAATCAATGTTACGAACGAAGTTGCGTCGCATTCCTTAGATTAGATTGTGGCTGACGAACTGGTTTCGCACCTGAATGAATAGTATGTGTGATTGTGTGCGTGTGTGTAATAAAAGACGTCAACTAGAAGGAATCGATCTCCACAATTCTCAGATGATCGGGGTTAGATAGATAACTGAGTGGTAAATTGGTCGATCCAATATATGGTTTTAATATTGAAGGGCAATTTAGTCGATTAGCTTTTTTTGATCAATTAATATGATTATAAAATAAAAAAAACTGATTAAAAATGTTTAAA